TCTGGCGTCCGGTGGAGCACCACAGCTTGGCCACGAACGGCGTGATTTGAGCCCAGAGAGCTCGGATCGATGGGCACGTTGGATCGTCCGTGGCGACGGCATTTCGGATGCGGTTGTAGATCGGAGGGTACGGGCAGGTAGCGGTGGATGTGGTGCGTGCCGCACAGGTGCGTGTGCGTAGATAGCTCGTGGCGGCTTTGCGTAATGGCGTTTTTAATTTTGTAGGCGGTTAGGTCTGTTTGGAGTGGCCTCGTGGTCTAGTGGTATGATTCTCGCTTCGGGTGCGAGAGGTCCCGGGTTCGATTCCCGGTGAGGCCCCGTCTTTGCTCCGCACGCTGGCATCGTTGCCGCCCGCGTTTTTGCCGCGCAGCACCATCGCATGCCCTACTGCGGTAGCCAGTCGCCACCGCTGCCGTGCCACGGACCCCTGGTTACGGCGAAATCGGCGGATCGAGACCAGGAACCTACTGCTTTTGGCGACCGGTTGACACTGGCGCGCTGACCCGAGTTTGGCATTTCGAGCGCCTCGAGGTTATCTGTGGGGAAGCCACGGCCTCTGGCGTCCGGTGGAGCACCACAGCTTGGCCACGAACGGCGTGATTTGAGCCCAGAGAGCTCGGATCGATGGGCACGTTGGATCGTCCGTGGCGACGGCATTTCGGATGCGGTTGTAGATCGGAGGGTACGGGCAGGTAGCGGTGGATGTGGTGCGTGCCGCACAGGTGCGTGTGCGTAGATAGCTCGTGGCGGCTTTGCGTAATGGCGTTTTTAATTTTGTAGGCGGTTAGGTCTGTTTGGAGTGGCCTCGTGGTCTAGTGGTATGATTCTCGCTTCGGGTGCGAGAGGTCCCGGGTTCGATTCCCGGTGAGGCCCCGTCTTTGCTCCGCACGCTGGCATCGTTGCCGCCCGCGTTTTTGCCGCGCAGCACCATCGCATGCCCTACTGCGGTAGCCGGTCGCCACCGCTGCCGTGCCACGGACCCCTGGTTACGGCGAAATCGGCGGATCGAGACCAGGAACCTACTGCTTTTGGCGACCGGTTGACACTGGCGCGCTGACCCGAGTTTGGCATTTCGAGCGCCTCGAGGTTATCTGTGGGGAAGCCACGGCCTCTGGCGTCCGGTGGAGCACCACAGCTTGGCCACGAACGGCGTGATTTGAGCCCAGAGAGCTCGGATCGATGGGCACGTTGGATCGTCCGTGGCGACGGCATTTCGGATGCGGTTGTAGATCGGAGGGTACGGGCAGGTAGCGGTGGATGTGGTGCGTGCCGCACAGGTGCGTGTGCGTAGATAGCTCGTGGCGGCTTTGCGTAATGGCGTTTTTAATTTTGTAGGCGGTTAGGTCTGTTTGGAGTGGCCTCGTGGTCTAGTGGTATGATTCTCGCTTCGGGTGCGAGAGGTCCCGGGTTCGATTCCCGGTGAGGCCCCGTCTTTGCTCCGCACGCTGGCATCGTTGCCGCCCGCGTTTTTGCCGCGCAGCACCATCGCATGCCCTACTGCGGTAGCCAGTCGCCACCGCTGCCGTGCCACGGACCCCTGGTTACGGCGAAATCGGCGGATCGAGACCAGGAACCTACTGCTTTTGGCGACCGGTTGACACTGGCGTGCTGACCCGAGTTTGGCATTTCGAGCGCCTCGAGGTTATCTGTGGGGAAGCCACGGCCTCTGGCGTCCGGTGGAGCACCACAGCTTGGCCACGAACGGCGTGATTTGAGCCCAGAGAGCTCGGATCGATGGGCACGTTGGATCGTCCGTGGCGACGGCATTTCGGATGCGGTTGTAGATCGGAGGGTACGGGCAGGTAGCGGTGGATGTGGTGCGTGCCGCACAGGTGCGTGTGCGTAGATAGCTCGTGGCGGCTTTGCGTAATGGCGTTTTTAATTTTGTAGGCGGTTAGGTCTGTTTGGAGTGGCCTCGTGGTCTAGTGGTATGATTCTCGCTTCGGGTGCGAGAGGTCCCGGGTTCGATTCCCGGTGAGGCCCCGTCTTTGCTCCGCACGCTGGCATCGTTGCCGCCCGCGTTTTTGCCGCGCAGCACCATCGCATGCCCTACTGCGGTAGCCAGTCGCCACCGCTGCCGTGCCACGGACCCCTGGTTACGGCGAAATCGGCGGATCGAGACCAGGAACCTACTGCTTTTGGCGACCGGTTGACACTGGCGTGCTGACCCGAGTTTGGCATTTCGAGCGCCTCGAGGTTATCTGTGGGGAAGCCACGGCCTCTGGCGTCCGGTGGAGCACCACAGCTTGGCCACGAACGGCGTGATTTGAGCCCAGAGAGCTCGGATCGATGGGCACGTTGGATCGTCCGTGGCGACGGCATTTCGCTGCTTCGAGGTGCCGACTCACAGTCGCGCTGCTCTAGTTACGCCCTAACACAGCTATCGAGCCAAACTGAGGTGTAGCAGACGTGCCAAAACTCGTTAGCTTCCCACTCCCACACCAACAACACCTACACTAACGGGAGCGCAGGCTTGTCGGGTGATCCGAAGATCGCCCAGTCCGTTTACAGCGCTGCAGTGGTTACCCAGGCACCTGCCAAGTCGTCCCAGGAGCCGTGCCACGTGCACAGAGCACGCTCCCCTTCTTTCGCCGACCTCTCCTTGTCGCCTCTTCTCCTTCTCCTTCTCCTTCTCCTTCTCTCCTTGACCCGTGCCCTCCACCAAAGGATGGACGGCGGCTCTCGCCTTTTACGGGGCGCCGATGCAAAACCGCATCGGCTGAGTCGGGGGCGGGCCGAAAACCCGCGCTCGTACGCTCGACGAGCTCTCCGCCAGGGGCGGAATCCAGATAACCACTACATGCACTCGCTCTTGGACTCGCCGGGCGGCCGAGAACACTTCCGTCACTTGGGATAGCCTATCTCAGCGGTGGTCATGATCTAGCCCCACGGGGGGTGGTCGTACCTTGAAGAGACGCCGCGTGCCGCTTGTTTAGGACCTCGGAAATTCCATTCTGTATTTATCTTTGCTTTGTTGGGCTCAAAGGCCCTTCCCTGGGGTTTCTATACAAATACCTAATGAAAATGGGCTGTTACGGCCTCTCCAATACTAAAACCAAGTCTGCTCGCTCGCCGACTCTTCGCTCGACGACCCTTGAGATCTTTTGGGATCCAGCGTCGGCGAAACTCCTCCAGTCGGTGTCTGGTGTACACACTCGGCCCGGACTGACTGCAACCACCGACCTGCGGACTCAGAACTCGCTATACCACAACCCCCGGCGCTCGTCATCTTGCCCGTCGACCTGTCTGTTCACACGTCGTTGCATCGCTCTGGACACTGCGTGGCAGGCTGCGGTCGGCTTGACGTCAAGCCCACCACCAGCAACTACTTCGCGCCGCTCCGTTTATGCTTCCCCAGCGGCGACACTGGACGATGGAGCTTCGCTTCATGTGAAAGTTGAGAACCTCCATGCTTCATCTGCATCGGAAGACCCGTCGTCGGTTCCTGCCTCGTCGGGTGCTGGATCTGGGGCGTCGGTGGGACGACCGCTGACTCTCGCTGACTTGGAGCGCGTTCTCGAGCTGCGCGGCAATCGGATGGAGTACAAGATGGCCGAGCGAGAGACCAAAATGTGCAAGCTGCTTGCGTGCTTGTTCGCCAAGCCACCGGTGGATCCATCTCCTGAGCTGTATCGTCGACTCCAGAACGCGTCGTCAATCGACGAGTTGCTGCCAGCGCTTGAAGGCCAGGTCGTCGATGGACCTCACCCTGCTGCAGTCGCTGGCGAGAAAGCTGCGGAAGCCTTTGCTGAGCGCACGCGCGCTGACCTCCTGCAGCACAACCTCTGTGAAGCAGCCAAGGAGATCGCCGCCCTCCGCGAGGCAGCTGCGACATCCAATGCGCTGGCCCGCTCACTCAAGGAGGAGGCGGCTCGCCTTATCGACTCGAGCAACGAAGGGCAGCTCAGCATGCAGCTGCTGGACACTGAGCGGAAGAGCTTCCTCGCCGAGAAGCAGCTTCTGGAAGCCACAATTCGAGACAAGGATCGGCTTATTGCTACCCAAGTCGACGATTATAGGCGGACCGCTGGGAATCGTCAGCTGCTCATCGGCCGTTGCTATGAGCACTCCACTCAGTTGGCTCAATTGTCGGACGCAATCCTGATGGGAGATGGGTCTGCGCACCAGTGGCTCAAGCGTCAGCTCGCTGACAAGGACCACAAGATCCGGACCTTGACTCGCTGCAAGAAGTTCACATCCTTGGTCAGCGAATTCCAGAAGCAGAGCCCCTTCCTGGCAGTCGCAGCTATGCTCGGTAAGTCGGGTGGTGTCTTCATGAATCTCGGTGTTCCCTTCGTCGCTTATCGAACTTGTTGCGTTGTAGGTCAACCTATGCCTGGCTTGGAAGCCAATCAGCTGGATGCATTTCGTGACGCCAGCAACTTGCTTCGTCAAGCTGGCTTGGGTGTGTTCGGTGAGGTGGAGCAGCACGTGCAGACTCCGTCTCCAACACCGACTGCCCCGCCACCAAACCGTCCTGTGCGTTCATCGGCCAGGGCCACCACTCGTGCCTCCACTTCAAGTCGTACACCTTCGTCGAGCCGTGTCCGATCTCGCTCGCCGAGTCAAGCTACTCCTACGGCTGACCGCCGTCTCCGGGCTCGGTCGTCGAGCGTAGGTCGGTACTTGACCAGGGCTAGTCGTTCGCTGAGCTATTCCGCTCGTAGCGTTTCCCCACCGACTGCGTCTTCGCGTAGTCTCCCTTCGCCGGTTTCAGCTCCTTCGGCGAGCAATCGCTCACGCTCACCATCGCCTGTTGTCGTTGGTTCCAAGCGCCGTCGTTCCCGTGACCCAGACGACGAGCCAGCACAGTCAACCGAGGCTCCAGCTTCCAGCAGTTCGCCGACTTCGCCCAAGAAACCAAAGAAGAGACGGATGGCTCGTTGGGCTCGCATCCAGGAGGCTCGGCAAGCGGAGTTGGCGAAGCAGGGCTCTGCACCTGCTCCCAAGAAGCAGCGCTCGTCGAACAAGAAGAGACGGTCACCGAGTCCCGCGAGCGAGGGTTCGCTGACTGAGGAGAAAGCTCCAGTGCCTGCTGCTGCTGAGCATTCTACTGGGCTGGTCGACTCAATCCCTTCGCCTTCTTCCCGGTACCCTCAGCGAGCGGCCAAGTTGAACGCCACGGTTATCCAGTGGGAGGTTCATGCTCAGGAGTCTGACAACGACTCGGAGGTGCTCGGCGAAGCACCCGTCGTTCTGTCTGTCGATGACGCTCCTGCGGGTACTCCATCCGTTCGTCGATGCCTTCTACTGAGGAAGCTGTCACCTCTGGAGTTACCGAAGAGGTGGGCGAGACACTGGAGGATCCAGTTGCTGTTGAGAGTTCACCGGGCGGCTTTACGTATCGGGTTCCAGCCAAATCTCCTGCTCCTTCGTCGGCGTCCGAGGCTCCTACCGAGGAGTTGTATTCTTCAGCGCCACTCCCGTGGTCGGCGAGGCTTCTCCGGCGACGCAAGTCGAGGCAGCTTCTACTCTAGCATCGCTGAGCTCTGAGGCTCCACCCGCACTTACAACGAGCTCTGTCATGATCCGGGTCCTGTCTCCTGGTAAGCATCCTGCTTGGAGTCCGGGGAGTCCGGACGAAGACGACGACGCTGGAGATAGCGACAGCGATCGCGATGTTGGTTCGGCGGGAGGTAGCCCTGCTACAACTTCTCCCAATTTGTCGGGCCAGCCAGTCGCACCTCCGGGCAAGCCTGTCGTTGGCTCTGAATCCAATGATGGCGGCCAACAGCAAGCTTCACCTGGTCTTTTAAATCCGCCTGGTTCTCAATTAACTGACCGGAGTTCGACCACTGCTGCCAGCTCTGTCATAGCCGATCATGGAGATGAAGACGAAAGCTTCGCTCAGCTGGCGCTAACGAGCACGAAGGACTCCACCGGCAAGGCTCCCGTCAAGCCTGCAGGACCGTCCAAGAAGGTTCCGGTCAAGGCTGCTTCCGCTCCAGCGAGCAAGAAGAATAAGAGCTCGGCGAAGGTGGTCAAGTCGGCGAAGCCAGCTACTCGTTCCTCCTCATCCGCCGCTAAAACTCCGGTGGGCGAATCTAAGCCTGAGGTTGTCAGGGTCAAGCTCGAGGGTGGACCTCCTCCTCCTCACTTGGTGGATGTGAAATGTCGTATAGGAAAACACGATTTAACGAGTCCTCGTCCCTCTAGCCAAGGCTTTTGGGACGAGCCCTTCCAACAACACGCTTCCCTCCTAAAAGGTCGGCGATTATTGTTGGGATTAAATCTGAAGACCAGATCCGTTCCCTTACACCGGGCTGGAATGTGCCTTATGCGAGTCGTCGGTCAGGTAGGTAGAACCCGTAAATCAAATATTAGAGCACCCTTAGCCACGAGCTACGGCTAGGATGTAATATGCACACGCGCTTTCGCGCTTAACCCACTGTGGTCCCTCAGAAGGAAGGGTACCAGGCCAATCGAGGCTTGTGACAGGGGCGCCGAGACGAAGTATCGGCTGGAAGTCAAATATACTGGGGGGGGCACGCCACACACCCAGACAAACGTACAACTGTACAGGGAGGTCTCTAATACCTCAAACACTCGGCCACTACTCACTCTTGGCCTTTACAGGGATGAACACTCGGTCAATGTACCTTATGCTCACCGGCAGACATACCCCGCGTCGGCCGAGCGTATCCAGACTCTACAGCTAAGCTAAGACTTACCGGTAGACGGACTTGACCCTTGCGTGGCTTCGGGGGGAAATTCTGCTCTGATTTAGTGATTAGAGGCTGTGAGGCCTTCCCTATAACTAATCCCTAATGTCTATACAAATATCAAGTATCAGCCGAATCTTCGAGCCGGACCGACAACTCGACGACCCTTCGGCTAGGTCCGAATTCCTAATGAGAGGCAAATCTTGTACCCACTATGAATACTGGGAGGGCACGACAGGGATTTATTATGGCCCGCCGTACCTGGTCACTAAATGGCTGTCAATCTGTCACTCAAACGCGGGGAATGTGTGTAGCCAATCGGAGGGCTCACTCAGCCATCACCGAAGGTTCAAGACCGTTAGGCTTCGGCGCGGGGCTGTTCTTCAGCGGGCATTTCCCGATCTCACAGAAAACCCTCGTGCAGCGTGCGTCGAACGCGACCAGTCGGGACTCTCGCGAGTCGAAGTACATAAAGCGGCTCCGTTCTCTTCCGTTCTTCCACAAGGCTTCGCGTCGCTGATGGGAGCAGATATTGGCGTCGTGCGTGCCGATTGCGGTCACTGAGAAGACAGCCGACGGCGTTCGAATCCAGCCTACGCCTATTAGCTTGCCTGGCCTTCACGCTTTCGCTAAGGTCGACGACCCCAAACACCCTTGGTGGACGATTTTCCGGCTTCTTCCTAGGAGCATGGCCTTCGTTGACGACACAGTGCTTGATGTGTTTCCTCCCGTGGAGAAAGGGAAGAGATCGCGGAAAGCAGAGACGCTCCTGGAAGCGTTAAGTCTTGCTTTATCTCGGTCTCGTGGCGTCGTTCGTTGGGATCGTCTCCTAGTGCTCTGGGAAAGAATGCACTGGATCGTCGAGTCCAGCGTCTACATCTGGCTCGCCGAGGCATGGTTGGCCTCCCAGCAGACTGCCGAACTCGACGAGAAGTTCACCCAGCTGTGGTTGAAGTTGAAGGAGGAGTATATCCACGAACGTAAGCAGCGTTCCGATCTTCTGCGGTTGGCGATGAAGGAATACGGGGACGCCTTCGTGGAGGCTGTGTCCCATGAGATCGATGGTAGCCCTGCACGGTTGCTGGACACTGAAGTATGCTTCGATCCGGCCGTCCCGTTCTGTCCGTTGATAAACCTCCCGTGGTTCCCCAAGATGAAGAACTGGGTCGCCGAGATTAACCACATCGACGGCAACGAGCCGTGGCGAAACTGGTGGTTGACCACTCCTGGCCGTCACCCCTACAACACGATCTTTCGTCCAGCGCATCCGGACTTCCCCCTGTTCGTTCCTGTTGGAGCTGATCCGGAAATCGTCCAGCTCGTGGTCGAGGCTGAACGGGAAGTCATCGAGCCAGTGCCACCTGCGCTCCACCCGAAGACCAGGCCTCCAGCGAATCGCCCGACTCTGGCTGGGTTCCTGCCGCCGAACGTCGTTCACGCTGCCTGATTTTCATTCGTGGCCCAAGTCGCGCGAAACACTTGTCGAGCTTCACATAGCGTTGAGACGTAGTTTAGTTGGAGGCTCTTTGCATGTCGTAGTTCCGTTGTTCTCTTTTCCGCGCGGCCACATTTCCATATCAATCAAATCAAATCAAATCATGCAGTTGTTGGTACAGTCGAGATACACTCGACGAGGGCCTGTACCTCACCCTCGCCCAGGTCAACATGTGACACAGTAACATCAATCCCTTGATCGGCGACCTGTGTCCATCGCCGAGGGATACTTCGCGCAGTTGCTAGTCTTCGTCAGCAACTTGAACCATCTTGAAGCGGTTCGCGCGCTTGCGCTAGAGGAGATAGTCGAATAGTAGTCCTCCGCACGATAATTCGATACTGGTTCCCAAGTGGGCTTATCGTAGTCTCGCCACTTGATGTAGAACTCTCACTGCTTCCGTTCAGTGCCTGTCGAAATTGGCCATCGGTCGTCGAGAATAGCTTCGACGACGTACTTATCACCGTCTCCTTCCGGATCCCAGCTGTCCTCTGGCAGAAGTTCCTCATCAAAATCAAACCTCTCATCCTCGCCGAGTCCGTCGATCAGTTCTGCAGTCGGTCTGCGGTCATCTTCGCTCACTGCCTTGAGTCTGGACACGTGCACCACAGGATAGAAGCGGTAACCGGTCTTGTCAGGTAGCTCTAGCTCGTAGGCAAACTCCTCCACCGTCCGTTTGATGCGGATAGGGCCATGCCACCTGTGAGCGAGCTTCTTGGTCAGGCCGGGCTTCACGCGCTCCATAAACAACCATACCCGGCTCCCTGGCTGGAACAGTGAGCGATGGACCGGTTTTCCCGTTGATTCGTCGACCGTTGCTTTGCCAGGATCGCCACGTTCGTCGAGCGGTACAGCAAGCCGTTCAATTCTTCCAAGGGCTTCGTTGCGTTCTTTCGCTCGCCGAACCTTTTCGGTGGCTTGGTAGTGTTTCGCCATTGCCAGAGCAATCTCGTGTTGTCGGCTGGCCTCGCGTCTCCAGGCTGCAGCGTCCGTCTGATCACCATCGCCGAGTCTCAACGAACTTGTCATTGCCTTGAGTGTCGATTGGGCATCCCATCCGTGGACGAGGTAGAAGGGTGTCTCCTTCCTCGTTGTGTCCATCGAATTATTGATCGCATACTCCATCTTCTAAGCTATCTCGTCCCAGTCCTGCTGGAGTGGGTCTTCGATGTACACGTTCACGGCTTAGATCACCGACTTGACCGACCGCTCCTGCTGACCGTTCGCTTGGGGCCGGTAGCTGAGCGTCGCTCTAGACCTCTACTGGACAGCTCGAAGAATGCCTTGAAGGTCTCACTCATAAAGCGTGGATCGCGATCGTGTCGTGGGCACCAAAGCGTCGGAACACATATTCCTCGAAAACATCTGCAACGTCTTGTGCCTTGGTGCTGCTCATGGCTTTGGCGATAACGTAGCCAGTGAAGGAACACTGGAACAGCAACATAGACGTGTTGCCTCGCCGAGTCTTCGGCAGCGGCGTCACCAAGTCCATCGATACCAGCTGGAACGGGCGGTCGGCGAGCACATTGCCCGGCGACTACCCCTTCAATTGGGGTTTGCCCTTGCTGGTACTGCAGTCTGCGCATGCGCACACATGGCGAGCCACCGTGGCGTACAGTCCAATCCAGTAGTAATCTTTCTTGACCTGGTGGAACGTGCGCGTTATCCCTTGATGCCCTCCTTCGATCGAGTCGTGACAACTCTGCAGGACTTCTTCAATTATCGTCGTCGGTATCACCAGTCTCAGCTTAGGTTCCGGCTCGCCTCCCTCGTCGAGCTTGCGTCCCTTACCCACATAGTGTAGCACGTCGTCTTCGTCCAGGACGAATCGGTCGGCGAGTTTGCCCGCATTGGCTGCCCTTTTGAAGTCGAGGGACTCAATGTCGCCCCGGAGGTAGGCTTTCAAGTCGGGCCACCTCCTTTCTTCGTCTTGGGCAATACGGACTCGCCGTATGCGTTCTGCTTGCACCGCTACCGGGTTTAGTTGTTCGTCGACTTCTTCAGGAGTAGCAGGAGCTGGTCCGTTGGTGATCATGTCGTCGTTTGCATCTGCGCTTCGTTTGCTTCGCTCGCCGACTCCGGTGCGTTTTCTGGAGGGGTTGGCGTCTCTTCTGGCTCTGTCTGTTCAACCTCCTGACTTCTCACGTCACCGTGGTTAGTGTGCCGTTGCACTTCGGGATCTTCGAACCTCACTCGCCGAGCTTGACTTCTGGTGACTGCAGTTACTTGAGGTTCTTCGGTGACCTCATCAGCACTTGAAGGTTTTGCTCGCTGAGTGGTTTCCGCTCGTTGAGTGTTCCGCTCTGCCTCCAGTGCGGTTTGCTCATCGACATACAGCACCTCTGGAATTCGATTGAGCGCTTTGAGCTCCGCCTTCCTTGTTTCGCTGAGTACCACCTTGGTGACCTGGGTTTCCAGAGCTTCCGTGGCCAGCGAGTCGGCAGATATGTTACATCCTTATGGCGTGCAGATAGCGGACTGAGTTGAGCTGCGTCGTGAGTTCCTTGTGATTCTTCAGCTTGACTTGCAGCGTCTCCGCCCGGCAGGCTATCACCCCCATGGATTGCTGGATTGCAAGCCTGGAGTCGCCGACGATAATAAGATCGGTCATCCCGTGTTCAATCGCCGCCTTGACTCCGTTGTTCATGCCAGTATATTCGGCTAGATCGACCGTCGTCGATGGCAGGTGCGCACTCGCAGCGATCACAATGTCCCAAGCCGGTAAGCGCCACAGGATCCACGAGCAGCTTCCATGCCCGCCATGCTTTTCTGTCTTCGCTGACCCATCGAAAGATAGCACAGGGCCTTCATAGTCTCGAGGGATACTCGCGTAGAGCAGATGGGGGGCCAGCCCCTTCGAGGGCGGTGGAGCGGGGCCACTGCTTCGTCGAGCGCCACAAAGGGTGTGATCGACGACTGCAGCAGCTTGGCGAATTCGACGTCACGCTCGCGGACTCGCTTGACCTTCAGGTGCCACTGCGACAGGAACACCGCGAATTGCACCGTCCTTTCGAATAACGACTTGGACTGGAACACCCACTCCAAAGTTGAGAACCTGGTGTAGACGTGCAACGTCTTACCGGACAACAGCGTATAGCACACCTTGAGCACCTGTAGGAGAGCCAACACCTCCTTTTCTGCAGGATGTTAGTTGAGCTCGTTCTCCTTGAGCACCCGGCCGCAGAACCGCACCGGGTGGAGCAAGTCGGCATGCATCTGCATGAGCGTACTGCTCAATGCCCACTCGTTGGCGTACAACATGATGTAGACGTCCTTGGAGCCGTCGAAGTGCCGCAGGATCGGTGCCTCGACGACCTTCTGGCGTAACGCTGTAAAGGCATTGCGGGCAACGCTGAGGTCACCCCCCGGTGCGAAGTCGTCCTCCTTTATCTGGTACAACACAGCTCCGTACACGGCCAATCCCTGGATGAACCTCCCGTAGTAGTTCAGGGCACCCAGGAACGCCTGCATTCCTTTCTTCGACGAGGGGGACGGGAGCTCAGCGATTGCCGCGAGTTTCTTTCCGTCTGCCTGGATTCCTTCCCCCGTGACAACATGCGGCAAGAAATCCACTTTCGGCTGGACGAATATGCTTTTCGTGAAGCTGACGCTGATCCCGCACTCGGCGAATCTCGACAGGAGTCGGTCCAGCGTCTTCAAGCACTCATCGAACGTCGACCCGCCGAAGCAAATGTCGTCGACGAATGACGGTGGAACACCGGGACCAGCTTCGACTGGTCAGGTTCGCCGGTCGAGAACATATCTGCATCCGGGCTGTTGACCAACTCCATCAGCGGGTCGTTTCCGGCGAGGGCCAGGTGATCCGCTTCGTATACCGTCCGCAGGTCGCGTCGATCGACACTCGGCGACCTCTGCGACTTCACCACAAACTCCTTACGTAGAGCTTGAGCCTTAGCTTCTGCCTGCTTCATTCGCTCGGCGCAAGCCTCCCAGCCGCCTTTCGGTTGCACGTAGCCCCACAATGAGTTTCCAATCATTCGCTGGTAGATCATCGGCGTGTTCTTCAAACCGAACGGCATGCGCAGCCACTCGAAGTGACCTAGCGCGCAGACAAACGCCAACACACACCGAGCACGCATCGTCATCATGATCGCCCAGAAACCGCTGGCAGCATCCAGCGAACAAAACCACGAGTAGCTCTCCATTTCTGTGAGTAGATCGTCGACCAACGGCATCGCATATTCCATAATGAGCGTAATTGCGTTGACCATCTTGTAGTCGATTCATAGCCGTATATCGAGGCCGTTCTTCTTGAGCACGATTACGATCGGCGAGGCCCACGGACTGGATGAGAACGCAATGAGTCCTGCCTCCAGCAGCCCTTTCAGCAGCTCATAGAGCTTCCGCAAGTATTTCAGCGGAATTCGCCGAGCTCTTTGCTTGATAGGGGCGTTGCCTTGAACATCAATGTCGCACACCGCGCCGTACGCAGGCGGCGGTAGTGCGTTGCCACTGGCGATCATGATCTCTTCATGCCGACGCAGTGTCTCGACGAGCTTGATCTGTCCAATTGGATCCAGTGAGGGGTTCTTCACATTTGGCGCATCATAGTCCAAGATCGTCGAGGCAGGCGCGGTCAAGTCCGGTAAGAAGGCGAGTTCGTGTGCGTAATCTTCAAAATGAATCTCGGTTGCTTCGTGCTCGAACTCGTCTCCATCCACACTGTCGCCATCTACCATGAGAGCCTTCGCGGAGGCGATATAGCAATGTCGTAGGTCGTCGAGCGGATCGTCGCTCATCGATTCTTCGATCTCGTCATCCATCTCTTGCAGCGCCGCCACGGTAACGTACACAGGCTCAGTCACACCTCCTGTTCCGTCGAGATAGACACCCTTGATGAGGTCTGGTCTGGCACTCAGTGTGCGCATCCCATCCGTTTGCTGTCGGAGCATGCTTATCAGGTGAGCGGTGTTATCATCGTCAGGCGAGAACCTTGGGTGTTCGTAGGCAACTTGGACTTCGTTCGCCGACCGAACTTCACCAAATTCACCTTCTTGAGGAGTGACGCGGGTCGCATAGTCTTGTTCCCCGGCGTCTATAGGACAGCTTACCACTGTCGCTTCCTCAGACTTGTCGCTCTCGCCGCAATTCGACGAGATTTCATCAGTCACCCCTGTCTCGTCGGCTCCGGTGTCGGATAGCTCGCCGAGTCGATTCCATTGTTCTTCGCAGGTAGGACCTCTTGGTGCATCGGCTGGTCGGCATGAACTCCAGCAGGGGTTGCGTATTCCCGCTGCTCGACTGCTGGAGGTTGCTTCGCCGACCATTCTTCATAGAGGCGACGTTCGTGTTCCAGTAGATGCTTCGCCTTCGATGATCCATAAACCAGTATTTGCCACTCACGATACTTCCTGGTATGCAATTGCACGTATCCATCGCTGAGCGGCAGGTCCTCGTGCGGGATCCAATACACGAACGGGAAGTGTGCCGGACAGGACACTGGTTTGTCCGTGCAGTTTGTCAATCTGACCCTCGTCGGTTTTCCCGACCTGCTGAAGACCACTGTCGGCAACAGATCTCTAGTTCGCCGAGCCCATAGATCGTGGGTCGCCCAGCTTGGTCAGTTCTTGGACAACTTGAACTCAACTGTCTCGCCCGCCAGTACTTCCATCGTCTCCGGCGGGCTCCCAGCTACATGTTCCGCAGCGCTACGCTCGTCGACTTCCTTCTGCGACTTGACTAGCGGCACCACCACCTCCTCCGGGTTCTTCATCGTCGACCGGAAGAGGTCCAGCCTGACACCGGCTGGAATCATGAAGTCAGTCCCAAGAATAACGTCCACCCCCGCGTAGTGAGGCATGATCTAGACTTCAAAATCGTAAACCAACTCCCAACCCAGTGTCAGCTTGACCTTCGCACGTTCGTTCGTGTAGACCTCGTCCTTGGCAATTCCTTGTATGTCCAGCTGCATGTCCATGTTCACCCTGCGTCTCAGCCGTATTTTCTTAGCGAAAGATTCGCTGACCGCACTCACGTTCGTGCCCGTGCCCAGCAAAATCTCCGTTTTTCTGTCGTTCACTGCTCCCATCACAAGTGCTCGCACCCGCTTTCGCCGATCGAACTGTTTCTGCGACCACCATCCTTGGCGCTCGCCCGCGAGCAGCTTCATCACCTTGACTCGCGGGGTTGGCCTCGTCTCACGCAGCGTCGCACTTGTGATCATCCCGGTAGATTCGCTGACATCCTGACTTGAATTCAGTATGGTTGGCTCGTCGACCGTGTTCAATTTTCCGTCGTTTTTCAACTCCATGTCCGTCGCATTGTCCTTTCCCAGCCATTTGCTCAGGCAAACACGAAGTTTGCCTCGATCGCCGGCTCAGACAACTGTGAGCGCCCGTCAGTGCCCAACCCAGTTATAGTTGGCGGGCGCGCTCGTTTAAATTGCTGGAAAATATGCCTTGGAGCTCGGACGGAAGGGAGTCCTTGTCGTGTTTCGACTTCAGGAACTTCACAGCCTCCTCGTAGAGCTTGTGGTGCTCGCACTGGCCGGCACCATGCACCTGCGTGCAAAACTTGCACCGCCGGAAGCACTTGTGCACCGAGTGACGCGGGTCGCCACAGGCAGCGCACGGCCCATACTCCGGACGACCTCGGCGTTCTTGGTCGTTCCACCGGCTTCGGCGGCCTTCGTCTCTACGCCCGTCGCCCGATACATTCGCGCGACTTTGACCGTCTGATCGCTGAGTTGCGACACTCCGGCTCGTCTCAGCCACGTTCATGTGATCGCGATCCGATTCATACTCGGAATTGTATGAGCGGTCGGAATGATTGCTGCTCTCCGAGTAATCATCTGAGTCGACTCGGCGACGAGGCGTGAGAGACACGCGGTCTTGCCAGGCGTCATAGACCTCGTCGACCGACGCACTTGCGACGGTGACTCGACGATCGTAGCGATCTTCACGGTTGCGGCTGTCACCTCGGCGATCATCCCGGTCATTCCTACGGGCGTCACGTCTAGCGCTGTCGGTCCGTCGGCATCCATCGCGTGATGATTTACGCGTGCTGCCCTTGTCTTTGCGGCGTCGGTTAGCGGCCATCGTGTCGTTGATCACAGCTTCCACCTTGACAATATTGTCGAATCGTTGAGGGATCAACTGTCGGACCAGCGCATCATCTTCGCAAGTGTCGAGGAAGCGCTTGACGTGACTCGCGCCGATGGTACCGCCCGCTTCATACGCGATTTTCGGCGAGCGAGCGTACACATTCAGGCGCAGCAGGTAGGCGCAGATGTGCCCCCCCCCCTCGTCCCGCGTGGCGGTGTAATATCGGTCTTCGGCGGATTGGTCGTGCTGCGAGCAGTAGTACGCCATGAACGCCTCGCACAGCAGCGACCACTTGTTGCGCGTCTTCTTCGGGAGCTGGCGAGCCCAGTTGCTAGCTCCACTCTCCATGAGGAGCTGAAACGGCTCACACCAGCGGTCCTGCTGGGTGTTGGTTCCCTCCATCTCGTAGATGAACTTCTTGAGCCAGCGCAGCGATCGCTCACTGCGGTTTCGAGTCCCGGATAACTTTGTCAACTTGTTCAGCGAGGTGTGGTGCGTCAGCTTAACTCGCTGAGCCCCGTCCCGTCTTCGTCTTCACGCTGGTATGATCGCCGAATCTGCGCCGTCAGGTCTTCACACGGGTCAGCGAAGTCGTAGCCCGTGTCATCGTCGTCGTCATCATCATCGCCGAGCGCGGGAAGGTTAAATCGCCGACCGTCACTATTCTTCTTCGGCGTCACCATGTGCGAGTCTGCGAAGTACGGCGAGTCGGGCGTCTTGCCGAAGACCTGCTTGGTGTCCGGCGTCTGCATCTGGTAGCCTGTGGAGGCTTTCCACGGTGTCGTCGGCAGCGGAACCAGACTCGGGTCGACGTCGTCCAGCTTCCGCACCGTCGTCGTCCCACGCACTCCAAACGAGTCCTTCAGCTTGCGCTTCCACTTGGTGAGGTCGGCGCTTACTTCGGCGAGCTCCCAGACTTCCAAAGCCACCTTCGACGGGACGCTGGTGCACTCGAAGGCCATTGCCACCAGCAGACGCTTGGTCTGCTCGCTGAGTTGGTCTGCTCGCTGAGTTGGAACAGGCAGGAGCTGTCGATCGGGGACGCCAGCTCCCTCTCGAGCGTTACCCACTTGGCACCGCCGACTTCTCTCAGCGCGAACATCATCACCCACGCGCTTGCAGCAACCATCGATCGGCCGACTTGCCCCAGTATCTTGTACGCATTCGGAGTATTTCCGTTCACCGGCGGCCGACTTCCCGTGGTCGGTCGCTCGTCGGGTGCCAGAACCTTGGCCGGAGTAACTTCGCCGAGCTCCGCATCAAGTCGGCGAGTGATCGGGCGCGGTGCACCCGACTTCCCGACGACAACCGTTAGCTCGTCGACGTCCTCATCCTCCAGCATCGGCGCCGGGCCCTTCATCTCCACGTCATCTTCACTTCCATCTTCGTCAGCCCCACTTCCATGATCACGATCGCCGACTCGGTCGAACTTCACTGAGCGCGGCGTGCTGGCCGTCGCCTTCGTCGCCGCGTCCGCGCCTCTCGGCCGCGCACTTGACCTCCCTCCGGCCGCCGCCGGACTTCCGCTTCGCGCACTTGTCGGTGTCTTGACCATCTTCACTTGCTTGCTCGTTGACTTGAAGAGTACCTAAGTGCCACAAACCCCCTGTTCCCGGGTCGCGGCACCAGTTGTGGTGTAGCAGACGTGCCAAAACTCGTTAGCTTCCCACTCCCACACCAACAACACCTACACTAACGGGAGCGCAGGCTTGTCGGGTGATCCGAAGATCGCCCAGTCCGTTTACAGCGCTGCAGTGGTTACCCAGGCACCTGCCAAGTCGTCCCAGGAGCCGTGCCACGTGCACAGAGCACGCTCCCCTTCTTTCGCCGACCTCTCCTTGTCGCCTCTTCTCCTTCTCCTTCTCCTTCTCCTTCTCTCCTTGACCCGTGCCCTCCACCAAAGGATGGACGGCGGCTCTCGCCTTTTACGGGGCGCCGATGCAAAACCGCATCGGCTGAGTCGGGGGCGGGCCGAAAACCCGCGCTCGTACGCTCGACGAGCTCTCCGCCAGGGGCGGAATCCAGATAACCACTACATGCACTCGCTCTTGGACTCGCCGGGCGGCCGAGAACACTTCCGTCACTTCGGATAGCCTATCTCAGCGGTGGTCATGATCTAGCCCCACGGGGGGTGGTCGTACCTTGAAGAGACGCCGCGTGCCGCTTGTTTAGGACCTCGGAAATTCCATTCTGTATTTATCTTTGCTTTGTTGGGCTCAAAGGCCCTTCCCTGGGGTTTCTATACAAATACCTAATGAAAATGGGCTGTTACGGCCTCTCCAATACTAAAACCAAGTCTGCTCGCTCGCCGACTCTTCGCTCAACGACCCTTGAGTTCTTTTGGGATCCAGCGTCGGCGAAACTCCTCCAGTCGGTGTCTGGTGTACACACTCGGTCCGGACTGACTGCAACTACCGACCTGCGGACTCAGAACTCGCTATACCACAAAGACATATGGTCGGAAACCCTCCATGTCTCCCTCCTGTCGGTTGGCGACTGTAGCGCCCGTGGAGCGCATTCCGGCCGCTGGCGATAGCAAGATCGGCCTCGAGGCGCCGACTCACAGTCGCGCTGCTCTTGTTACGCCCTATACATATTACGACCCGGATGAACGTTCATCCCAGGGTCCTTTAGGGTCCTTGGGCCGGCATATTTTAGGCGTTCACGACCCTCATCCAGGGTCCATCGTGCCCAAATTAGCTCATTTTGGTTGATTTTTTAATCTGGGCTCGCGGTCTGAGGTTGTCTAATAACTGATAGCGACTAAACCCTAAAGCTGATATTTTTTTGTAGTACCGTACAAATTATATAAAATATGTTGATATCAAGCAATTATTATTGGTCCTCTACAATATATAATGGCGTGTAAGACGCTGTATTACATGTAACGCGGCTGCCCCGAGAAGCGAGTTTCGACACCACCAGGCGCATCTTCGTCGGCGGAGCGAGCGCACGTACGTACCGATCATCACGCCGCGTAACCACAGCTCGACCGTACAAAGGCGCGCGTCCTTGGAGGCGCGCCGCATGTCAAGCGCCGCGTCGGCAAACTTAATCCCCCTCCCTCTCTAAGCAATGTTGGAGGTCTATGCTACAGAATGTCTGCATAACGCTTTGCAGTGGCAACATGGTGGGCGCCAGCAGCGACCTGGTGGGGTCCAGCAGCAACATAGATCGATGCATTCTCCACCGGAGCAGGCGATATGAGAAACGACGACTTCTCTGCTGGGCACTAGCCGCTAGGGGTTTGCCTATTACAGAGACAGGTGAAGTGTGAGCTCTAACGGCTCGAGTCCCCGCACCCAAAACAAGATCATTCCGCCTTTTGCCGAGCAGAGAACAAAGCTAACGACCGCTAATAAAGTCAGCCTTTGCCCGTGCAGACAAGTTCTTGCTGTTCCTGTGTGCCCTGCGAAGTACAAGTAACTCATGGTTATGAGCCCAAACCAGAGGGGCCTGGACGGCGGCCGAGTTGACACCGTTCGCTCTCTTCGATTCGACGGCAAGAACGTTATCGCCTACAAGGAAGGATTGAAGGCGGCTTTGATGGCTCGGAAATGCTGGGAGATTCTCATCGGGAAACGAACCAAGCCCGAGCGTGATGGAACTCCTGAGGCGGCAGCGCGTCGCAAGAAGTGGAAGCAAAGGGTGCTCATGATCAACGACAATCTCACGAACACGCTGGACGACGGAACGCGCGTGCGTCTGGCACCCCGCAGGCCAAGTGGGGTGCTCTGGTGGAGGACTTCGAGAAGAAGTCGTTTGCTGTAGCCCTTTTTAAGCAGCGTGAGTTGCTCAATGTGGAGTTCGATGGTGAACACGAGTCGATACGTGATTACATCCACCGTGTTGAGGCCATTCGTCAGGAATTAACTCTCATGGGGGGGAAGTTTCTGACCGTGAGGTGATCACAGCCTTATTGACTGGGCTGGGCGAGAATCTGGTGGAAACTTTTGACAACCTTGACGACTACACCCTGAACCAAGTTAATGTCAAGTTGACCAGCAGAGAAGACCGTCTACTGCAAGCGAAGGCAGTATCAGAGGCGCGTGCTCGGAAGAGCAGTGAGCATTCAGGTGGAGCGCACCACCAGCAGCATCCGCACGGGGAGAGTGCCTTCTACACCCACGGGAACAAGAAGCGCCATTCCGGCGGTGGTGGAGCTGCTCAAGGTGGACAGCAAAAGCGGCGTCGTTCCAATATCAAGTGCTGGAACTGCAACAAGTGGGGCCACTACGAACGTGAGTGTACGGCTTCGAAGAAGGACCAGCCAGCTAAAGGAAAGCAGGGTAAGGGCAAGAAAGCTGCTAAGGGCAAAAATAAAGACACCCATGGCGATCTGCCAGGGTATCACAACCCGTGTGAGGAAAAGCCCAAGGGCAAGCCTGTTCACATGATTGAAGTTGTTCATGGTGATGATGCGCCTTGTCTATCATCCAGGACTGAGTCTGCTGCTGGCTTTTGCTTGTCGTTCGTCTTGGACAATGCATCTGGAGTGAACATTTGTGGATGTCGCGATGCGTTTTTCTCAATGACTGAGGACAACGACACTGTGATGAAGTGGGTGGAGAAATCAACGACGCTGAAGCCCATGTATTAGGGGCTGATTAAGCTGGTGATGGTAGATGCGGTCACAAAGATGAAAGTGCCGATCACCGTTGAGGCTTTGTTTGTGGATGGAGCTACCAACATCCTTTCGCAGCGGTTGATGTATCTACAGCACGGATTCAAATCGCAGACTAGTGACGATCAGGAGACGAACCTGTTGACTAACCAAGTGATGAGTTACAACTAGAAGTACGACATGGTTGACGGCTTGTATCAGTCGAAGGTAGAAATATCTCGTCCCTGTGAATCGTACCCAGTGTTGCAGGTTGCTGCCCAGCCACCACCCTCGTCTTCTTTGAAGCCTTGGCACGCAGACAGTCAAAGATATGGAGGCAAAGAAACTCCTGACGGGCATGCGTTTGAAGCAGCATGATAGGAAACTCAAAGGAGGCTGCTACAACTGTGATATGGCCAAGATGAAGCGGGTGTCGCATCGGAAAACTGCTCCAGAGCGAACTACAGTACCGTTTCACAAAGTGTTCATGGACCTGGATTTCATCGACGTGCCTACGCTAGAGAAGCACTCGGTGTATTTGCACCTGATAGATGAAGGCTCACGGTACCAGTGGCTATACCTGCAGCAGAATAAGGAGGAAACTGTGGATCGACTACGTGATTTCCGCGACCACGTGAAGGCGAAGCATCATAAAGATGTGAGGATTTTTCACTCGGATCAAGGCCCGGAGTTCGTGAACACGAAAGTGGCGGAGCAGTTGAGGGGTGAATCGCTGCAGATATTCTCGCATCCGCACACACCTGAAGAGGCCTGTTTGATTGATAAGGCCCGCAGTACATTGTTCAACAAGGTCAGAGCTGTGTTGTACAGCTCGGCATGTTGTGGGGTGTGGCCGCCGCGTACGTGGTTGAGACAATCAACCGCACAAGCACGAAAGGCAACAAGGGCAACTTGACGCCGCATGAGAAGATGTTCGGCGTGAAGCCGAGCGCGAGGCACTTGCGTCCTTTTGGTTGTCTGACGTTGAAGTTCGTAGACAACGTGTACCGACAGACCAAACTATCGGTGAGAGGTGCTCCTGCTTTGATGGTGGGCTACGCAAGTAAGACCAAGGGGTATCGTCTACTTGACTTGACCAATGGGTTGATAACAGAGCATCGGAAGGAGAACGTGAAGTTCTTTGAGGAAACGACTGTATCGAATGAATATGTGGAGAAGCTGTTGAACGTGGTCTATCGCCAAAGACACAGACCCGATTTTGACAGCACGAAACTGCCGTTTGTCCATTTGCCTGTTGCAGAAGTACCTGAACCTAGTGAGAGTGCAGAGCTGGCTGACTCTAATGAGAGTGGGGAAGCTGCAGCTGAGCGTTCGGCTAGCGCTGCTCCTGCTGTTCAGATCGATGACTTTCATAATGTGCCGACGCAAAGGGGGAATGTGAACCAAAGTGATAGCGCGACACAAGATACTGAGGAAAAGGAAGAGAGTCTCAAGAAAAGCAGCCTGTACGCAAACGAAAGAGACACCTGCCGGTGGAAGTGAGCGAGCCGCGTCGGTCTCAGCGCGAAAGGAAGAAGCCTGCGCGCTTGAAGGACTTTATCGCGAGTGTGTTCAGCTCGTCTGCGTCGTCGACAGCCATGATTCGACTGCAAGTTCCAGCGACGTGGGCGGAGATGATAGTTTCACCGCAGTGTTCTCGTTGGCTGGATGCCACGAAGGAGGAGTTCTTAGCACAACTGAAGAACGGAACGTGGACTTTGGTGCCAAGGCTGAAGCACGCTCATGTGCTGAAGAATAAGTGGGTGTGGGTACTTAAGGAGAATGAACACCGACTGCTGAGATTCAAAGCAAGATTGGTAGTTCTGGGATGCCTTCAGATTTGGGGGCTGGAGTTTGACGACACGTTCGCTCCTGTTGTGCGTTTTGAGACGCTCAGATTTGTGCTGTTGTACGCTTGCCTGACGAAAGCCGTTGTAAAGCAGTTCGACTTCGTCACAGCGTTCCTCAACGCGCCCATTGATCGTGTGATTTATATGGAGCAACCTCAAGGTCATGTAAAGCGCGGCTAAGAGGACTGGGTATGCCTGTTGAAGCGCAGCATCTACGGTCTGCGGCACTCACCGAGGAACTGGAACAGCACGTTGCACTTGGCGCTGGTGGAGTTTGGATTTCGCCGGTGTTTCAAGGACGAAGCTCTCTACTGGATCCGCGTGGAGACACGTCTGGTGCTCCTACCGATCTACCTAGCCGGCATTTTGCTTATTGGTTGTGAACAAGATGTGAATTTTATTGCTGATAAGTTGATGGTTCGCTTTAACATGAAGGATCTTGGAACCGTGAACTATTTGCTGGGCCTGCAGATCACTTATGAGTCGGAAACTCGGGTGATGTTTCAGCAGACGAAGTATGTGCAAGACATCATGCAGAAGTTTCGTATGGATGCTGCTTATCCTGTTAGCACTCCTATGACGACTGATGTAGCGAAGTTGAAACCAGCTAGTGATGACGAGCACAATCGTGATGAGTGCTTGCCGTATCGTAGCTTGGTCGGATGCTTGCAGTACTTAGTGAGCGGCTCTCGTCCGGACTTAGCTACAGCAATTCGAAGGCTGAGCAAGTTCTTGGAAAAGTACAGTGCTGTACACTGGAGAGCAGCTAAAAGAGTGCTGCGATATTTGGTCGGCAGCCAGGACATGGGTCTCGCGTACGATTTGGTGGAAGCTAGGAAATATGGCAAGCTCCACATCGAGGTCTATACAGATTCAAACTTCGCCTCAGAAGGGGGCGATATGAAGTCTGTTACTGGCTTTACGGTTTTCTGCAATGGGCAATTGATTTCGGCTAAGACCTGGAAGCAGGAAATTATTGCAGAGAGCACGTGTGAAGCAGAGTTGATCGCAGCGAATGCAGGGGTGCATGATGCTGTGTGGCTGGAGCAGCTGGTGGACGAGTTGAAGTTGCCGAGGGTGGTGACTGCGCTGTAGTGTGACTCGACTAGTGCGCGCGAATTGATGCAACACGCGGGCAAGCACCATCGCACCAAACAGCTCAGAATCAAGGACCTTAAGATACGTGAGTACGTGGACGAACATGGCATGGACGTGAGGTCGGTGACGTCGAAGGACAATGTCGCCGACCTGCTGACGAAGCCACTGCCTATGGAACCGTTTCGGCGCCACCGAGAACGATTTGGGGTGCGTGCCGTCGGGTTGGCAGCCCTGGGCAAATCTGATGAGTGGGAAGAAGAGGCTGACTAGCTGAGTCTCATTGAGGCTGACGACCAGCTGAGTCACGCTGAGTCTCATTGATGTTGATGACCAGCTTTGAAGACCTGTTGCAAACATAAGAGAGCCTGCATTGCTGATGAGTTTTCGAAGTAAGGGTTTGGCAAGATGCAGAGCTCTGCAACTAGGTGTAAGGCCAGATCCACACACGCTGCTGCTCGCAGTGTGTGACGTGCATATGGAAGTGCATGTTGTTCAAGCGGCAAGAATTCTTGTGACAGACAGGAATCTGTGCTGATTGTTTTGAGTGGCTTGTTTGGTGCTAATGTGGATCATGAAGTGGCGGTGCCGAAGTCGAGAAGAGAGTATGAGAAACGACGACTTCTCTGCTGGGCACTAGCCGCTAGGGGTTTGCCTATTAGAGAGACAGGTGAAGTGTGAGCTCTAACGGCTCGAGTCCCCGCACCCAAAACAAGATCATTCCGCCTTTTGCCGAGCAGAGAACAAAGCTAACTACCGCTAATAATGTCAGCCTTTGCCCGTGTAGACTAGTTCTTGCTGTTCCTGTGTGCCCTACGAAGTACAAGTAACTCATTAGCGACGCAGTGAACGGAGGTGACGGCTGTGAACTGGTAAACCTGAGGGCCGATGCTGACAGCGGCAGGCTTTCTATAGCCGCCGTTCTCGGCGGTGTTGGCCATTCTACTTCATGTATACAGTGCCTACAAACTACCGCGGGTCGCGTTGGCGGCTCAAAGCGTGGCGCCGCTGACAACTCCGCTGCTATGAACACCCCCGGTTCGGCCACTGATCTAGCTGTGGAGCTTTTGGACAGCGAGCCGGACATTGAGCTCGACGTATGGCAGCCTCCTCCACCTGCTTCTTCACACGCAGTTGGACGTCACACGCAAGCAGCGAGCAGTATCGCAAACCGTCGGAAGGTCGTTCGGTGGATGGAAAAGCACGAGGAGACGCAAGGCGTTAAAGACATGTTTGCGAAAGCTGTCGCTGGATTTCCTACGATTTTCAACTCAGCGACAGCGTCGGCCAACCTAGCCAAGGCGATAGACTGGTGGGCGAAAAAGGACCTGATTTTGGGGGCCGAACGAGGCGTAGTTGCCGTCTCGGCGCGACGACGTGGTGGGAGGCGGCGTGTCAGCACCAAGGTGATCAGTGGACGAGGCCGCCCTCGCAGCGCATGGGTTACGTGGCTGTACTCGAAACTTCTTGACGAATTCGATCGTTTACACAAACTTGGCGTTAAGTTTGAGCCGCCACTACTGCTGCAGCTCGCGAAACAGATTTTGCGAGACGGGGAGGGCGAGTATACTCATATGAGCGTCGATGCCAAACAGACTCTGATCATCGAGAAAATCAATTCGCGTTGGATCCAGTGCTTCATGGAGGCCCATCAGATTGTTCTGAGGACGCAGACCGGCAAACGACAGCTCAGCCAGCCCAAGATCCTACATATCGAGAAAGAGGTTGCATTTCACCTCGGGGAGTTGCAGCGTGGGTTTGCCGACGGGTCACTGGACGAAAATGCAATCGAAAATATTGATGAGACGCATTTTGTCATTGATTTCGACACTGGAAAAACTTTGGGCTTCTCAGGCGAACAACAGACTAAGTATGCAGACGTTGTGTCGGGTGGCGAAGGAATGACCATGGTGGTGCGGCTCTTGGGAGGTGCAAGCGCAAGGCCCCCCCCCTCCCCAATGATGATCTTTATGAATGCTGAGGGGAAACATCCTATCCGAGGCGTACCCGATTACACTCCGGGCGTGTGTTATCGATCCAGTAAGAAAGGATGGATGACACAAAGACTTTTTCGAAATTATCTGAGTGAAAGGAAAGCAATGCGAGCAGATCCACATGACCGCAACAAGACCATCTACCTCGACAACTGCTCTAAGCCGACCAATGTCAAGATGAACTCAACTCAATCAATGCAGATCTCCAGTTCTTCCCTCCAAATGCCACCGACTTGTGCCAGCCAGCAGATTCCTTCATCATTGCGAAGATAAAAGACGCATGAAAAGCAAGGTGGAACGCGAAAAAGCTGAGTCTTATCAAGGAGAACTGTTGGCAAAATAAGGTTCGCAAGGACGGGTCGTGGTCGGGCAAGCTTCAAAACCCTGGCAAAAAGTTTTTTCCTTCAGCTTGCAGCCGACGCAGTCAGAGATGTCAATCACCAGAAAGACAAGAACGGCATGTCCTACGCTCGAAAAGCGATGATCCGCTGCGGATTGTCGCTTGGAATCGACGGAACCTGGTCTGTAGCCCAACTCTATCCTCATCTCCAAGAGATAATGGCGAAGCATCGTGCCCACTTTGAAGGCGAGCCTGTGACTTCAACTCCAGATAAACAAAAGAGCGGTACAGCTCCAGGTGAATGAGAGGTGAGACTATTTTCGTGCTACATAAATAGTCTTAGTCAATAAATAGTCTCAGTCAGACTATTTAATGTAAATAAGCCCAGTCAGACTAATTACCGTAGGTACTGTAGCGGCACAAACAATTTACTGAGTCTGGATAAGCTTGAGAAGGACAGATGAGACTTCGTCAAGCTGAAGAAACAGAAGTGTGCGTGGCTTCGTAAGGGTAGAGTGCTGCTGAGACTGATGAAGACTCGCGGACGATATCACTTGCAGTCGACGGTGTGTCCTACAAAGCAAGTAGAGGCAGTCGAGCAAAGCAAACCGGCCGGACAAGGAGCGAGCTTTGGTACGGTGGCACGCCCGTCTCGGCCATCTCAACTTTGCTGCTTTACAGCGAATGGTCCGAGAAGGCACTGTGGATGGCTTGGAGTTGAGTGGGAGTATGCGCGCGCCCGAAGAGCAGTGTTGGACGTGTGTGCAAGCCAAGATGCGACGGATGTCGTACAAGCAGGTGACCACTGATAGAGTGCGGGAGCCGCATCAGAAGCAATGTCTGATGGATGCTTCCTTAACGAGCCTACCTACAATGGTTATTTACATTTCCAGCTTGTGCTGGATGAAGCGACTCGTTACGTGTGGGGCTTTCTTCTGAAGCGAAAGGAGGAAACTGCCGATGTAGTGATGAGACATGTGGCTTGGATACTCGCACGAGGTCATCGAGTAGAAGCTTTTGGCTCGGACGGAGGAGGTGAACTGATCAGTAACCGGTTTAAGGCCTTCTTGAGAACGAATGGAATTGCGCTGGCAAAGACCAACTCATACAGTCCGGAGGAAAATGGACTCGTTGAGCGCATGCATGGGGTGGTGCTGTCCCGTGTGTGGAGCTTGTTCACAACGATGAATCTACCTAACCTGCTCTGGGGAGAAGCGCTTGATTTTGCGGTGGAGGTGCTCAATATTAGTCCAAGCGCTGCACTTGACGGAGAAACACCGTACACTCGGCGCTTCGGAGAGCGGCCGGACCTATCCAACCTGAGAACGTGGGGTTGATTGGTCTACACCTTCACTGCAAAAGTCCTAAGGAAGAACAAATTAGAGAATCCTGGACAGCCTAGACTCTTCCTCGGGTACGGCAAGGAGTTGATGAGCTACCGCGTTCTAGATTTGAAGACTGGAAGGTGAAGGAACTTAGGACAGTTGACTTTGCTTAGAACTGGACTGTGGAGTACAGTTATGTTGAAAAACTCCTGCTCAATCGATACAAGCGCGACAAGTATCAGCTTCCGTCCCGAATTCCTATTGTTCGGCTAGATGACTTGACGTCCCCCAGTCCAGCTCGAAGACCTCTCGGAGAGCCTGAAAGAGATCACAGTGATGAACATCGCGATAAACGGCGTTGCAGTGAGGACTTACGAGGGCAAGCCAGTACTGTAGTTGAAGCTCCGTTTGCTGTGGGTGGGCCGGCGTTGGCTAGCTCTCCTGCAGGCACGTCGAGCGCGAATCCGACGGGTGCAGGTGAAACTGTAGCTCGGTCGTCACGTGCGCGTGGACTATGAGAAGTGAATCATGTGCCACAGCATGAGGACACTGATGGAGACGGCGGTGCAGAAGGTGGAGAGAACCTGCCTCATCGCAGTTGTTCTGCACCTTTTGAGCACGGTGGAGGGCTGTCTAACCGCAGTGGCTCTGCGTCTTCAAGAGACTCGCTAGCTCTCAGTGACTCAGATGTTGCGGATAATGACCCAGACTGGAGTGACTCGGATGATGATCCTGTTGATGCTGTAATTGCGAACGCTGATCCGGTAGAAGAAATTCCTTGCTCAGTGGAAGCAGGAAGAGAGACTGATGACGAGGCAAATGAAGGAGTTGGTGCTTCGTTCCGACGGTCGACGTGCATCCGACGACCGAATGTCCGGCTGAGCGACTATGATGTAGATATTCCGGTGTGCTTAGTGATTTAGGCAGTGAATGAATTGCTATAGCCGACTTCAGTTGAAGAGGCTTTGTCTGCTCCTGATGCTAAGGAATGGATTAAAGCTCTGAACACGGAACATCAAGAGATGCTGCGCAACGATGTGTGGGGACTTGTGGATCGACCTGAAGGAGTAAACGTCTTGAAGAACAAGTGGGTCTTGGTAAAGAAGAGGAACGCACAAGGAGAGGTAGTGCGCTACCGAGCGCGACTTACAGTGAAAGGTTGCCAACAAGAGTTTGGGATTAACTTTTGGGAAACGTACGCTCCTGTCGCTAAGATTGAATCAGTGCGGTTCTTGCTTCTGCTGGCTCTGGAACTCGGACTGCTGTCGATACAAGTTGACTTTGTCACTGCATTCCTGAATGGACCATAGGAGAAGCAGACATATACATGGAGCAGCCCGACTATGTCAACGATGGTTCGGGCCGTGTCTGCAAGTTGCAGCAAAGTCTCTACGGTCTACGACAAGCACCGCGCATATGGTACCGGATGCTAGACAAGTATCTGCGCAAGTGCGGCTTCAAGCGTACCAAGATGGACGCTGGCGTGTATATGAGGACCGTGGCAGCGAACAAGGTCTATGTGGCTGTGTATGTCGATGACCTGCTTATTGCTGGGAAAGAGCCTGACATTGAGATGGTGTTAGCTGAGCTGCGAAGCAAGTTTAAGATTAAGGACTTGGGTAACGTGAAGCACTTGCTGGGGATGGAGATAACGTACGTGCCGGGGCGCATGTTGACGATCTCGCAGAAGGGGTACTGTGAGAAGATCTTGTCGAGATTCAAGATGCAGAAAAGTAAGCCGGTAGGTGAAAGGGAACTTCCCGATGCCTGGCAATCCAGATGTGGAACCAGTGTGTGTTAATGATGACCCGGACATTGACTATCGGCAGATTGTGGGATCACTGCAGTATTTGGCACAGTGCACGCGGCCAGATATTACAAACGCCGTCCGGACGCTGGGGAAATTCCTGAACTGCTTCACGCACGAGCACCACGTGCTTGCAAAGAGAGTGCTTCGGTACCTGAGAGGGACTACGGATTACGGTCTAGTGTGGACACTATCTGAGAAGCCCGACTTGCAATTTGCAGCCTACGTGGACGCATGACGACCCTCAGTAAAAGATCTGAAAGTTGTAGCGTATGCAGACGCAGATTTGGGCAATGAGAAGGATGATCGGCGATCGGTCTCTGGTTTCGTGCTACAGAGGGGGGGGGATGCACCTACGCATACTCGAGCCACAAACAGCGACTCATTACAGATGATACATGCAGCTCGGAATTTGTTGCTACAGCACAGGATGCAACTATGATACTGTGGACTCACAATCTCTGTAAGGAGCTTGGATTGCACTGCAAGAAGACGATTCTCTACGATGACAATCAAGCTGCTATCGCTGTAATTACGGCAAACACTGGGGACTACAAGGTCAAAGGAATTGATCTGAAGTACCACAGGATCCATGACTACGTGGATAGAGATGAGTTTACTATCGAGTATTGGCCGTCTGAGGAGATGATTGCAGACATATTGACGAAGCCTCTTGGGCCCACGCAATTCAAGAAGCTGCGACCGCTCCTGAATGTGATGCCAGTGCCACCAGCGGGAGAAGCCCAAATCAAGCGAGCTCGTTCTGATGAGGCAATCAGGCATGAGCAACAAGCAGCCATGGCCGTCGCCACTGCCACGAAGTGGGAGTGTGAAAAAGGTAGTGACTCTGGCTCCGCCCCAGCGTGCCTGACTATACAGTATACACCTGGGACACCCAAGGTTGCCTTTGGTTGTGAGTATACGGGACGCGACTCCTTGAGCCCGTTGGCGTATAGTAGTTTGCAGCTAACACAGAGGGGGGTTGGCACCTTCGAGGTTTTCCCTCATCAATCCCAAAGTTGTTCAGTGGGAAACACGGTGTTCCTAGCGTCGTCTTTCTGCCCACTAAGCTCTTTCTCCTACCAACCTTCGCCTGCGCATCGTGTCAGTTGGCGCCTCAAAGCGTGGCTCCGGCGCTGGCGGCGGCCGCAAAAACACATTTTGGCACATTTTCTAGATTCAGACTAGACCGCCGATACTGGCAGCACCAGGCTTTCTATAGCCGTCGTTCTCGGCCGTGTTGGCCGTTCTACTTTCCTTATGCAGTGCCGACAAACTACCGCGGGTCGCGTATGCGGCTGAACGCGTGGCGCTGGTGCTGGCGGCGGCCGCAAAAACACATCTTGGCACATTTTTTAGATTTAGACCACTGGCACCACCAGGCTTTTTATAGCCGCCGTTCTCGGTCGTGTTAGCCGTTCTACTTTCCGTATGCAGTACCGACAAACTACCGCGGGTCGCGTTGGCGCTGGAGCTGGCGGCGGCCGCAAAAACACATTTTGGCACATTTTCTAGATTTAGACTAGGCCGCCGATACTGGCAGCACCAGGCTTTCTATAGCCGCGGTTCTAGGCGATGTCTGCCGTTCTACTTTACGGGTGCGGATTAATTTCACGTGTCATCCGGACGAATTCCACACCCAAGCACTAAAAGGTAGAATGCCATGTGCGAAGAATAATTTCACGCGCTACTAACGCATATGTTTTCCAAGTTTCCGAAGGGGGTTCAGGATTATTACAGAAACGCGTGTGCGAAAAAAACGTGTTTTTGATCAAATTACGTGTTTAGGAAATGTCCATTGCAAAAAAAGTAAAGTATCACGATTCCTATAGTGTGGATCCTGACCCGAGACAGCACTAACCTTGGACCTAATCAAAATATCTTCTTTTGGTACCTAAAGGTTTTTTTCGTGGGCTGAGTGTACTCTACAGTGTGTATGAATACACTTGGTCACCTCTAGCTGTTGCTTCTGGATGGCGCGTCAAAGCACTCTTTTTACGACAGCTGTCTCCGTTGAAGGTTAACATCTACACAGGGCTCCATCGCCCGAGCGTTCAGCTCTTTCATACGACTATGCAGGCCCACCAACGTCTTCAAACTTTTTGCGCTTCGATTGACACATTTCGATGCATTTTCAAACGTTTTGCGATTCAATCGACACATTGCATTGCAGTTCGAACCTGCCCAACTTACAACCACACCGACAAAGACAGCTAGGAAGACTAGCTCTGCATGCATCTACTACGCCCTCTTTTTTCCTCAGAGGCGCTGTCCATCTACGTCGTACAGGGCCTAACCTACTTCGCCATGCATCCGCCACTGTGGCTCACGATGCCGTGCATGTATCCGCGACTGTGGTCCAAGATGCTGTGCTTACTGCTGATGACTCTCATGGTAGCTATCGCGTCCATCATGTTGCTATTTTCCGTCGCGCTGGTGCCGCAGGCCGATGTCCTGGAGTACACGGGCGTGACCGCGTGGCTGTGGCGTACTGAATGTCATGTTGGTGCTCGTGGAGATCTTCGTCGTCACGCTCATCTAGAACCTCGTGCTCGCGACCTGTTCGTCGAGTGTGCAGTTGCTCTTACACCGTCCGTGTACTGCTGCACGGTGATCTGCGTTCCCACCTCATTGTTCTTCTTGGAGAAGTTGCTCAGCAGGATGCCGTTCACCCGCTGGAACACCTGCTATTATGAATCACGTTGAGTAGAGGGCTGGCGGTCCAATTAGACTGGATAAATATATTGGTCTGCTTGACCTACCCTCGTCATCTATTTCTTGTGTGCAAGCCCACAATTGACCGGATACTGCTTGGCCGACGATCGTTTCTCGTCTCGAACAACTAGACGGTCATCGCGGCGCGCTTGGTCATGGGGATTCTTCTTCCGGCCTTTATTAGGTGTCTCGGCGGGTGTCGTGGTTGGTAGTTGCTTATCAAGCGTTGGAAGTCGATGCTGGGCGTCTGGTGAAGTTGGCTTCTGCTCGTTGGGCGCAACAAGAGGTGAGGTGACTGGTTGGCTATCAGTGGGCGTGGCGACGGCCGATCCTTGGGCGAGTTGGTGCTTGGTGACCGTGATGAAGTCGGGCCGTTCGTCAGAAGTGGTCGTATTCGTTTGATATTGCAAGACACACCCTCCACAGGTCTCATCAACAAGTGAAGCTCAACGTGTTTTTATTTCATATTTCCATGATAAGTTCTCCTCAATTTGATTGATCTGGGTTTAATATACTCTGGTAGTCGAATAATGAAAGCGAGTTAAAATATTTCAAATTCTCATTTTTTCTTCGAATTTGAAGGGTGTTTAATTTTTTTATTGGGGTAGTATGACAAAGCTACTCTCAACTAATCCCGAATTTATCTAATGAAACACCCAATCCACCAGCTCTCTGTCTATTCTTAATTTATCTTACAAAACACCAGGGCTTTTTGCTCAAAATAAGTAACGAACGAGATGTGCGAAACCACTACATTTTTCTATAGATCTTCCCAAACGAAACACCCGACCCTTCGCTATCAACTAGATTTCTACGAAACCCCTCCAGGTAGTGCGGTGTGCCCGAGGCCTCGCATTCCTCGTTATTCAACTCGCAGTCTCTAAGTCGCCCCCCCTCAGTTCTTCGCTTCTGCGCTGGTTTTTCTAACCATGGCGGACAGTGCCGATGATGTCAACAGCGACGACAACAGCTTAGAGATCAGCAGCCTACGTTCTTCCAGTTCAGAGAGCGAGTCGGCCGACACAAGTACACCACCGCATGACTTTTTGCAACTCGAGACGTACACAACTCGCCGACAAGCCAAGTCGCAGATGGCTGTACTCTGCGGCGGAAGATTTCGGTACCAGTACAACTACACCACAGCTACCGGGGGTGTAACTGTGTCTTACTGCGGTTCTCATGTTGCCTGTCCGTGTATGGCTCGGATCACCCACGAGAACGGTGCCTACAAATTGTCCATGGCCGGTACGCACACGACGGAAGACTCCGAAGAAACCCTAACGGGCATCGACGGCATTTTTCAGCCTGAGGTCGACAATATTCTAGAAGGCGGTGCTGGACCAGAGGGATGCCTGACTATCCTGCGTAATCGATACGCTGACCGCCCCGAGATGTTGGATACTCCCCTCGCGATCGATGTTGAAGTCTAGAAAACAGTACATCAGCCGCGAAGATCGAGGTAATTTTTTTTATTTGCTTGTTTAACACGTGTTATTAACGTCATTTTGCCTAATGTAACAGCGGATGCTATCTCCAACTACGCCGAGCTTGCCATGTGGGCGGGGGCTCGCGAATGCACTACGCGCGACCAATTCTTCGGCCATAGTGAGGTGTACGACGCAGCACACGATCTAGCCGAGTTCAAGGCAAGGCCGGCCGATTTTCGCTACGAGCTGATCGTTCTGAAGTGTTTCACGTACGGTGACAATGACGAGGCAATGGGTGTTGTCGTGACTACACGTACTCTGCTACGGAACGTCGTCGGGGCTGTCAACGGACAAAGCGATCACGGCGTCGTCGTAGCAGCTGGTGGCACGTACAAACTACACAGATACACAGAGGTGGCTGGACACTCGTGGACTTGGGCACGTATGCTGTGCACCATGCACGCGGGGCGTTTCAGCACAAATTCATCCCCTGGGCGTACATGTTTGTCCGATCTGAGACTACGGAGACATACCAGGCTCTGTATGCAACTATCCGGTCAGCAGTGCAACCTTTCTTCAACATCGATTTGTAGATTGCCTTTAGATCACTGGACCACTCAGACGCAATCGCCAGCGCGTTTACTGCAGAATGGCCGCTGATTTTGCTATTGAACTGCTGGCCTCACTTCGTCCGCAAGGCCAATGAGAAAGGGCGCAGTATGCTGAACCACGAGGCTGTCTGGGAAAACGTCGTTCTACCTTCACTGAACTGGCTCCATAAGGCTCGAACGACCAAACAGTTCATTGCTTTAGCCGCGGTGGTCAGCGGCAAATCCGTGTCGACAACGAGGCGCCATACGAGGCGTGGCTGTCCGAGGAATATCTTGCAGAACGATGGCGCGCTTGGTTTGTGACGTGCAGTGGGTGCCCGGGCATTGTACCGAACCAGAATCCTATCAAGGCGTACCACAAGACGATCAAAACCGCGAATGTCCTATCTCTACGAGCCTCTACCGCCTATGTCATCAACCAATCTTTACCCAGAATCCTGTCAAGCGCATCAGCCAACAGCATCGTCGGTCTTCCAATCACCACTTTCTGCACTGGGCCCATCCCACCCGAAATGGTGGCGGCGGCACAACTGCTGAGCCAAAGAGAAAATCACCGCGTCGTGTTCAAGCCTCGGACGCAGCGCAGAGAGAAGGAAGCGGTTGTGTTCAACGCAAAGGCGTACGTCGTAGGAAACACGAATCTCAACGGCGTCGCTCTCACTCAAAAGCGAGTGCAGACGTTTTTAAAGTCGCTGGGGGGAGTGCTCAAGCCAATTGCCCAAGTGAGCACCATTTCGATCGACTATTTGTCGCTCCACAAGGTTGCCGTCCTGGAAACTACGCCGTATCAACACAACTGGGAGTCACCAAACTGGTCCATGGAAGAGGTACGCAGTATATACATGTTTTGGCTCATACTATCGATATGTACTATCGACATATCTCTTATATTGTGTATAGATCCGTGCAGTTCGTAACAGATACCGATGCGATTGCAAAGCACACTACTCGTCTGGTTGGATCTGTAGCCATGTGCTGGGCGCATTAGCGATTCTGGAAAATTTCGACTTAGGCCGCATGCTTAAGAGCCTGCCAGCTCGACGACCACCCGGCAGACCACACAAAAGTCCACGCGCCCTACAGAAGGATGGTGAGGCGTATTTTTCGGCAGTGCGTCTTCAGCGAGAGCTGCCGAAGCGCCCCGCGATGGTTCTGAACTGGCAGTGCAGCGTGGAGTTCAAGGAAACTGTCGACGGTGTGGTGTCCTACGAAAACTACAAAGGTAAGGTGCGCTCCTGAGTAATTGGGCTGGTGTATACCACTGAAGGGTAGAGTTTGAGAACAGAGTCATCAAGCAGCTGAAAGCGCAGGAGCTGGCGAAGGAGTACGCTGACTCTACTGGTATTGCTGTTGCCGGGCCGTGAAGAGCTGGCCACCCTAGCAAACTCGCCGTGAGATGCAAAGATCAGTGTAACAACACTTCCTTCATACTTACACAATACACGTATGCATTCTGCAGGAAATGGTGTTAAGCGCATCCATGTTCAACCGGCCGGTATGACCACATGGCATCTACAATGCCCAGGGGTATTCATGTAAGCGTGAAGTTCGTCCTTCACACATGCAAAAGGTAGTGACTCTGGCTCCGCCCCAGCGTGCCTGACTATACAGTATACACCTGGGACACCCAAGGTTGCCTTTGGTTGTGAGTATACGGGACGCGACTCCTTGAGCCCGTTGGCGTATAGTAGTTTGCAGCTAACACAGAGGGGGGTTGGCACCTTCGAGGTTTTCCCTCATCAATCCCAAAGTTGTTCAGTGGGAAACACGGTGTTCCTAGCGTCGTCTTTCTGCCCACTAAGCTCTTTCTCCTACCAACCTTCGCCTGCGCATCGTGTCAGTTGGCGCCTCAAAGCGTGGCTCCGGCGCTGGCGGCGGCCGCAAAAACACATCTTGGCACATTTTCTAGATTTAGACTAGACCGCCGATACTGGCAGCACCAGGCTTTCTATAGCCGTCGTTCTAGTCGGTGTCTGCCGTTCTACTTACGTATGCAGTGCCTACACACCACCGCGGGTCGCGTGTGCGGCTCGAAACGTCATGGTGGTGCTACCGGCGATGTCGAATAATTTGCTACGACCACCCTTGGTATGCTTATCGTAGATGCTTTGGAGCCGTTTGCTTTGATAACGTTGCGCTCACACGGACGAGCAGCTTGCAGCACAATCTAAATCGATCACGCTCCTTTTTCTAATATAGCATTGACACTGTTCAGGCTAGAGCCAACGGCACCCGCCGTGCTGGCGGAACAGATGGCATCGCTGAATGCAGTTAGTGACCCCACTTGGATCTGTCGAATGAAAATATGGACTAGAAAGCATAAATGTTTAGCAAATGTATGCTCTCGTTATCTAAAAACCGGGTATGAGGTAAATCAATGGCACGGTCTTCTCGTGGCTAAGCCACAGTTCTGGGACGAGTAGTTGCAGCTCATTAACTGGAGAAGAGAGCTCGAATGTATGCCCACAAAATGCACAAGTTGGTAAACGAGCTACCGGTGGGTACTTTCACAAGCCACTGTACAAATTCCTGTCTTGTCAAGAGGGCAATTTCACCTTGAATTCCTCCACGGGATGATGCGCGAGTTCGACAAACGTCGTAAAATCTCCATGCACCTGGGATCATCCTCCCGCGCAGTCGAGAGTTGAAGGAAGATCCCGGCTTACTGCCAAAATGAAGATCGTTTTTCCAATGCGCGTCGTGTATTGGAACGCCACAGAAAAGGCACGACGGATAGCGAGACCCAAAAATTAAATGATTCTCACACTCGTGTACAGGATGGGCACCAAGGCACTTCAAACAGTAGGCTGCTTGATGTGGGCATGCCTCTGGGAGTGATAAATGAATTTCGCTGGGTTAGAAATCCAACATACCACGCAATGTGTCGATCCATCGTTGAAAATCAGTTCCTGCATCAGCATGTAGACTCTTTCGTCGTTGAGGACTCTGGTGTTAGCTTCTGCACACTGTAACCGAATACTTCGTGACGCTGGTGCGATTGGGGCCTTATTTTGATCATCTCCCATAGCTCTAGAGCAGACATCGCACAACTCGTTGACATCGTCAACCGTGCACGGAAAACCCGCACCGTCCATTGCGTCTTGTAGTCGTTGCCTCCTGCAGCGGGTTTTAACTAAAAGGAATGCCCGTAGCGTACTAAGGGCTTGATATTCGCCCTTATTGTTCGATGACCCCACTGTCAAATGCTTCGAAAAGCGCTGGAAGTATGTTTCACTGTATATGGTGACACATTTTGCTGGCTTACCATCACGCCCCGACCGACCTGTCTCATGTGCGTAATCGGTCAAACTGTGGGCTAGTCCAAAATGTAGTACGGTTCGAACGTTCGGGTAATCCACACCCTGACCCAATACACACGTCGCAACAATATACGAGCAGGTAGGGGACTTCCACAATGACAAATTATTCTTGCGCTCATCGAAAGTCATTCCACGATGATACCGGGCGACCACTTTGGACGTATGGCGCTCTAAATAGTTTGCAATATCTTCGACCTTCGGCTTTGTCAACGCAAAGACAATGCCTTTGTCAGGATGTGCCATTGGAAGTTTTATGAATGATAGACATGCCTTCATCATATCTGTATTCGATAACAATTCCACCACTTCGTAACGTATTGACGCTCGGACTGTCGGCGTTCTCACAGTGACGAAAGGGAAGCCAAAAATTGTCATGAGGTCATTTTCCCAAGTGGGGGGAGAGTTGCCGTCAGTAGTGTCTTCTGGACCGAAATGGACGATAACACATAGACGAATGTCATGCACCTGCGGTAATCTTGCGAGGTCATAGCCAAGTGAACCTCGTCAAAAAATATTCTGCTTAGTTTGTCCTGCTCCTGTAGCGACAGTAGGAACGTCCGGAAATTTTGATGCTCCAAGTATGTTACTCGGACGAACAAAATAGATGGTAGCGCTGTGAAAGGACTTGTATCGTGTTGATACTCAGAGCACTTGATTCCCAATTGTTCTGTCTTCCGAAGCGAGTCCAATAAAAGTGCTACCAAAGGCACCACAACAATGACAACACGCGTAGAATCCGAAAATGCGGCCAAATGAAACAGCAAGGACTTCCCACCATTTGTAGGGAGTACAACGAGTAAATTAGAGACGCTCTGCAAAATCAGTGTCGTTGCAACACACTGCTCTCTTGACCGAAACGAAGCAGTCTGGTCACGAAGAAATGATCGGAGCAAAATCCGAGCTGACCCAAAGTGTTCCGGAAGTAAGCTGGTAATAGCTTCGCCAATAGTAAAAATAGCTGAAAGTTGGTACGACAACTGTGATTGGGCGTCCGTGCGGAGCAGGTTGATTGAATCTTGAAATTTGCTGCACGGGAGACGTCGGCGAACTTTTCCGCCTTGGTATTATCTCGGATTGGTCACTTGGGGCGTAACAATTGGTACTGGTCGAGTTACTAGGTCCGAGAAGTTTATGCCACTGGTGGGAACTAGAAACAAATTCGGCCATATCATCGCGCGACATAAAATACGGATCCGTGGTAGAACGGCTATACAACGTCGAAACCGTTGCCGGTGCATGAGCGGCTTGAAAATCAAACATGTCCTGATTCGATCTTGTTGATGTAATGTTCTTCTCCATGAATGCGATCGCGACGTGTCTGTAAGTCCGAACAGAAAGCTGGTTACCGCAACTTACAAAATTCATGTTAATTGCAGCACGGCAACCTTTCCCATTCAGTTTGCCCTGCTCTGTAGTGCTGAAGAGATAGTACAACAAAGCGTCACCTTCTCCAGAACGGTCCGAAGTAAAGCCCCCACGTTGTAGTTGAGTGAAGAAAAAACCTTGTGTCGGACGCACAAGGGCAGCATAGATCACAAAATCTAAAGTCAACTCCGGCGGCAGGAATCGTGCAATTAAGCAACGCTGTCCCGATATCGTCAGACCTTTATGATATCTTTGTATGATCATGACTTCACGGTTCAAAATATATACCGATCGTTCCCCAGAAACTGTGTTTCTTAAAGTCGAAGCGCTTAGCTCGGCAGCTCGTGACGTCTACCCTGACGTGATATCAATCAGAGGTGCAAGAAGCTTCGTGAGTTTATCAACCTTTTTGTACCACTGGGACAGCGAAGCAAGTCCAAATGTGATTTTACCATTCACCACCTTGACGATAAACTTGGAGCGATGAGTCTGAAGAAGATACTTAACAAGATGCATACGCATCGATTTCCATGGATTCCTGTCGTCTTCGAGAAAGCTGTATCCACAGCTATAATTGCGGTAGTCGTCGTAACAGCACTGCTCATCCGACATTAAATGTTTTTCAACAGCAGATATATCGTAGCCCAAAAGCACATTTTCACGAAGCACCTTACCAAACTGGTCGACAAGCTTCGCTTTTAAGTCGTGAAGCGTCTTCAAGGTAACACGACGGCCTTCAACTAGAAGCGCATCATGCGCCGATCCCAGCCACATGATTTGAGGAATTCGCCGTTGCTCAGGTGCCATGGCGATGCTTGAGCCAAAACTTATAACCTCCTGCAGCAGATTAAAAGGAGTTCGATCCCGGTCCTAAGATAAAAACGTAGCGCCTCCGCCCTTTTTCGCGTCGCCAAATTTTGCTCGTTGGCTTCCACACCCCACGACAGCTGATGAAGGTTCATCAGAGCAGCAATTCGAGCTCCATACTTTAAGATAGCGTCTAAACTAGTCACTTGACCAGGTTGTTTAAACTGTACGTAGCCAGCAGCATCTTTTGTCGGACCACTGATAGAAGAGCATACAATAAATCGATGAGTTGGAAATGCATGAAACTCGCTCGGGGAGTGTTCATTTTCCAAATCAATCCGAAAAATCTTTTCAAGGGCACCATCTAGCAATACAAGTTGCTCGACACGAACATGTTCCGCTCTGTAGTGCTCAGTGGGGATCGACGCGAAAGCTTCAGAGCACGATTGGAACAGAGACCCCACTTGATCAGCCAGATCATCATCTGTAGAAGAGCTTGGGGTAATAATGTAGTGCTGGGCATGTGTGTTAACCATCTGCAGTGGCCTTGCAGTACTTTTCGGAATTTGATTGAATGCGTCGCAAAGCCGATGCTGGTTCAATGTCACTTCCTTTTGACGACAGAATGCGCTCAAACAAATACTCTCGGGTGCCAATAATTTCTTGGTTGAGCTCCCAATACCGACACACAACCGGAAATACTAACTCAACAAAGTTTGAGTTGGGATCAAATTTAACCGAGGTGAC